GGTAAGGGGGGGGGGCGTGATGTAATCCCGCTATTTGAAACGGAATAGGGCTTTAGCGAGGCGGAGCGGGGCGGGCAGTGAACCGTGCCGGAGACCACAATGGAGTGCAATGTCACACCGAGGGAGGACCGGGCGGGACCGGACGCCGCCGAGGACTTCGGCGCGGGTGCCTCGCGATGGTGTTAAAGTGGCCGCCACGGCCGCCCACAGTCGCGCTTCCAGATTCTTCCAGGTCCATCGAGTGGCTCGTCGACCTTACGAAAGCTTGTTCCAAGACTCGAGGGTCAGCCTGCTGCTTCGCAAAAAAATCGCGTGGCCGAAAAACCCCGTGGGAGATCGGCCGTACAGGTATGCACGTGCGCCGGCGGGTTGCCTAACACTCAGGCGCCAAGCTGCGCCAGGCCGACGAGCAAACAAACGCCTGGGGAAAACCGACCGAACCGAACTCACAACTCTCGATCGCCCTCCGGGGCTGGTCTCCAAGTACAATAGAAACTAGCATTTAACTGAGTTCTAGTTCTTCGGGAAAGCAAAGTGGAAGGTGCGGAGAAGGGTGGAACCCCTAGGAGGTCGCTCGCCGCAAATCACTCGCGTGCGCGCAAGTATTGTCCACTCGAGAACCTGATTGCGACCCCCACCTCCCGGGAGTGAGAGGGAGTCGGCGAGCCGGTGGGGCGGCAGCGTGTCTCCATCAGGAGTGGGAGGCCCGAGAGCAGGCTGCAGCGAAGGGGCGCCCGGGGGGCAGCACGGCGGCAGCAGGACCTTGACCGAGGCGAGCGGCGCGGTCCAGGACCTCCAGGACACCACAGACCACAGGCCGACGCCAAGGCGACGCCGCGAGCGAGCGAGGCGAGCGACCGCACGACCGGGCGGCGGCAGAGGGCGCGGCGGGGCGCGGCGGGGCGGGGCGGGGCGGCACTGAGAGGCGCCTTGTTTGCACTGCCAGTCGATGCGAAGGTCTCGCCATCAACAAAGCCGGGCCGGTTGCGCACACAAACAGGGCCCCGCCGATCACAACAGCGCGACGCGTCGGCTATGGGCCCCCCTTTTGAGCTGGGGTCGCTGAGTGCGGCCACGGGGCTCCACTGTACGACGCATAGCACGCCGCGCGCGCCTTCCGGGTCCCCGCGACCCGACCCGACCCGACCCGACCACGTGGCGTGGCGTGGCTTGGCGGCGGAGCTCAAAGCCGCACCTCGGCCACGCCACGCCAAGACGCCGGCCGGCCGGCGAGCGCCGCGGCGCGGCGGCAGGCATTGTCTTTGATAACCTTGAGGTAGCGCGCCGCACCGCGCCCTTCCAACACGCGGAAAAACAATCTGTCCTATTAATGTTTCATACGCCCGTTCCCCCCTCCGCCGCCGAGGTGCTGCGGGCGTCGCGGATCGCCACCAGCCCGACGCGCGGCGGCATCACGGCTCGTTGGCGATGAGGACCTCGGCGGAGCGGCGCACCGTTCCGCTGGATCGTGTTGCTATCGCGGTCGGTCGGTAGGCTATAGTCGTACTCACCAGAGTTGACGCCGGGCGAGTGCGGGCTGCACGAGAGGCTCATGAGGACCAGGGCGGCCGTGCACTCGTCCATCATCCCCCGGGGGTCGCCCAGGCCGAGGCCGAGGCCCAGCCCGCTGTCCACGCCCTCGTCCTGCGAGGAGCTGGGCCGCCGCTTGCGCGACCTGCAAACACAACCACACACACACACATGAGGACCAGAATGGGGCAAACGACAGAGGCTCCTCCACAATGACTCTGCGCGCTGAGAATGGCGCCACGCTCCGCCGCGCATGTGGGCGCGCAGGACCCTCTCTGCTGCTGGCCGAGGCCGGGGCGGCGGCGGCCGCGGTGCATACTTGCGCCTAACTGCACCGATACAGCGCCGCGCCCACCGCCGAGCGGCCAGAGATGAACGTACGGTTCCCACCGCGATGAGCCGCACAAGGGCCGCGGTGAAACACAAAATATGACAAATGTGATTCTCCCCCTCCCTCCCTCTCTGTTGGTGCCGCCTCCCCCACTCCTCTCCTCGCGGAGGCCACACACAGGTTGGTCAAGCACTCTCCATTGTTTTCAAATGGTGTGGAGGGGGAGGGAGGGAGGTAGGGTGGGCGTGGGCAGGGCTACGCAATGACACTACTAACTACCTGACACCGCCGCGCCCTGGAGGCCCTGGAGG